GATGATGACGATGATGATGATGATGCTGATGATGATGATAATGAAGGTGGTGATGAAGATGATAATGATGGTGATGAAGATGAAGAGGATGAGGATGGAGAATGGAGGGAGAGGAGAAGGAAGGGGAGGAGAGGAGAGGAAAGGAGAGGACCGCGGGCCGCTGTATCTTCAAAACGAGAACCCAACACCACAGGCGTTGACGCATACGGCCTGTGCCACTGGAGCCTTCGGTGGAGATCCCTATGGGGCCACGAAGCGTTGTCCTGGGTGGCGTTGACGCATGCGGACACTGCCACTGGAGCCTTCGGTGGAGCGCCCTATGGGAGCCTTCGGTGGAGCTCCCCATGGGGCCACGAAACGTTGCCCTGGGTGGCGCTGACGCATGCGGACCCTGCCATTGGAGCCTTTAAGCTCCCTATGGGGCCACGGAACGTTGTTCTGGGTGGCGTTGACGCATGCGGACCCTGCCACTGGAGCCATCGGTGGAGATCCCCATGGGGCCACGAAACGCTGTCCTGGGTGGCGTTGACGCATGCGGACCCTACCATTGGAGCCTTTGGTGAAGCTCCCTATGGGGCCACGGAACGTTGTCCTGGGTGGTGTTGACGCATGCGGACCCTGCCGCTGGAGCCTTCGGTGGAGCTCCCCATGGGGCCACGAAACGCTGTCCTGGGTGGCGTTGACGCATGCGGACCCTGCCACTGGAGCCTTCTGTGGAGCTCCTTATGAGGCCACGAAACGCTGTCCTGGGTGGCGTTCACGCATGTAAACCCTGCCACTGGAGCCTTCGGTGGAGCTCCCTATGGGGCCACGAAACGCTGTCCTAGGTGGCGTTGACGCATGCGGACCCTGCCACTGGAGCCTTCGGTGGAGCGCCTGGAGCATTCGGTGGAGCCCCCTTATGGGGGCACGAAACGTTGTCCTGAGTGGCGTTGACGCATGCGGACACTGCCACTGGAGCCTTCGGTGGAGCGCCCTATGGGGACACGAAACGCTGTCCTGGGTGGCGTTGACGCACCCGGCCTGTGCCACTGGAGCCTTCGGTGGAGCTCCCCTATGGGGCCACGAAACGCTGTCCTGGGTGGCGTTGACGCATGCGGACCCTGCCACTGGAGCCTTCGGTGGAGCTCCCTGTAAACGTTGTCCTGGGTGGCGGTAACGCTTGCGGACCAGTCCACTGGAGCCTTCGGTGGGGCCCCCTATGGGGCCACGAAGCGCTGTCCTGGGTGGCGTTGACGCATGCGGACCCTGCCACTGGAGCCTTCGGCAGAGCTACCTATGGGGCCACGAAACGCTGTCCTGGGTGGGTGAAACGCAGGGAGGTGACGAGGCGGATGGGAGGAGGGAGGAGGGAGAGGAGGAGGGGGAGGAGAAGAGGAGAGGAACGCGGGGCGCTCTCTTCAATACGAGAACCCAACGCCACAGGATGGTTGAAAAAAAAAAAACGAAAAAAAAACAAAAACAAAAAAAATAAACAAACAAAACTCTAAACATGAACCTCAACCCTCGACCCTCGATTTTCGAACCTCACTGGCTGCCCCGTCCGCTGCTCTAGCCAGAGTATGGAGCGCGCTTCATGCACTCACTGTGCTGGCTCTGCGTGGCCCCTAGGTTATAGAGTCGAGCGAGACGCCCTTGAGCTTTTACCTATGCGATTATGCACCCTCATCTGTTCAAATCTCTCAATTTGCCCAAACCTCATCATCATCCTTGTTCTGATGAAGGCGGTCCTGGGGCCATCTTCTGTCGGACCTCCATCCTCCCCCCTCCCCCCCACCCTCAACCTCCGTCTCTCCCCAAGCCGTGCACGGCGACAGCAAAACTGAATACCGACTAAACCAACAGCGAAACCGAAACCGACCGAAATCGACAGGCCGAAAGCAGCCTGAAAGGGCGCAGCGACGCGGCAACGACGCAATAACCGACCGAAACAACCCGACCGAAACCAAACCGACTGCGAAGCAGTCGAACCAACCGAACCGCGAACACCCTTGTATCGCCCCCCTCTCCTCCACCCTCCACCTCTCGGCGGCGAACGAGGGCAGGAAGTGAGAAGGAAAAAGCCTTTGACAGAAGGCAGCGGGGTTTCACAGAAGCGCTCTGGCCCTCTGAGAAGGATGTGGCTTCGGGGAAGGCTTAGGAAAACTCTCGAAGGCTGGGGCCTTCCGA